GACCGTCATTGTTTGTCGGACAGTTTATGAGCGTCAAGTAACGCCCGAATGGAACGCTCCCCAGGGAGTGGACATTGTGCACACAGTGTGTACGGGCAAGTATTGATTCCAATGACCGGGGTAATAGTATATCTGTCCAGCGTCTAGGCGCTATATAAAATCGAAATATTATTATTATCATTACGAGGCAAGTTGGCTCAGTCGGTAAGGGGTCTGCCTGACGAACAAAAGATTGTGGGACAAATCCAACCCAGGCGGATAAATGGAGCTTGCGTTGTGTGTTAACGTACCTCTCCCCTTTTTCACCATGCAGGCTACGTTACAATGGAAAAACATTATGTTCCTCGGATAAGACGTTATACGTGGAGGCCCGTGTACAAAAGGCTCACCACATGTGCACGTTAAGCACCCATTACACTATCGAATAAGATAAGGGGAAAACCCCCGTGAAGTGGTCCACCTTTACAACACCACTTATTCTTAGCTTACAGAATAACCCCTCTTAAATTGATTTTATTTTCCTTGAATACGGGCCAAATTTACTGAAAATTTATTTCCATATTACTTTAATGTATGCTATGATTGGATTTGACTTTGAAATAATACAAAAATGAAACAAATGATGAAACCCTGGCATGGACGTTTGAAAGTCTTTTGCTCTGGGAACAGTGTGTGAAACATTGGTTTAGTGTTTGATAGTGAAAACATTAATCAGAAACGGTTTCACTTGTTGGTTGCCGCGCTTTGGATATTGTTGGGACCTCTGCGATGTGGCGCTTGGGTCTTGCATCCTTGCAAAAGACCTTTCTCAGCCCTTTCTGAAACCAGCGATATTGAAATGAATAAATAAAAGGATTTATCCACATGTTACCGAACCCCAGAAACACAGAAATCTGGTACAGCAAACCGTTCACATCCACTCCACCACCACAGCAGTTGACGATGAAAAGTGACACCATATTCGTGGACCAACATAAGATGAAGAAGATCGAAACAATCAACAAAGTTTTTATGGTGTTTCTTCTCGCTCGGCTGCGATAATCGACGGTACACGAACTTTGGCTTGGTGTTGTTGAATCAGCTTTGTTTCGGCTGCGCTTAGATTGGAATGCGCGCATTCCGTCGCTTCGGAGCTTAATGGCGATCGCTGAGTAGACGAATATCATAGCTATTACAGGCAAGATGAATTCCAGGAAAACGGCTGTAGGTTGAAAAACATTCTTGTAAGCGGGATGAGAGAAAGATGACAATATGCATTCGTTTCCGTCTAGACTGGCAAAATACCCCGAAGAAAGCTGAAACAGAAACCCGATAGCCCATGGGAGAAATGCAACGAACTTCAAGACCTTGGAGTTGGTTTGTCTTCGGAAACGGATGGGGTAAAATACGGCGTAAAAACGTTCCAGTGTCATCAGGACAAGGTTTAAGGAGCTGGCGGTGATGAGTGCCCAGAACGGATACCTAGTGTACCAGTATTTGCAGAGAAAACTTGCAAGAGCTGGACGATCTATCGGTAGTGGTGGTAGTGGTATGACATAATTGGCGATGAGGATAACAGATGTACATAGGTCGATCAGGGATTGGTTGGCAATGAAAAGATTGGTGACACCGTGGAGATCGTCGACTAGGGCGATGACAAGGAGCACGAGGCCATTGCCGACGATACCGAATATGCCAAACAAGGTGTACACAATCGTAGTTGGGAGGTAGCTCAAATCCTCAGACATCGAGTTTTGTGTAGTGTTATCCATTCTTAAAACAATTTCTCGACTGGTGACAGAAATCTATATAGTTTTGAAACTGGAATGACAACCCGACTGCTTTCTCATCACAGACTCAGTAGAAAAGTTGTTAAAGGTCTTTACAATGAATCCTCGAGCATTTATATATATATATATATTATATATGTATGCAATGAAAACGATAGGTTTCAGGCTATTCCTGCGCGTTGTTCATTAATTTAAAAGCGATTACCATCAAATGTAAGCAGTTTGACAATAGAATCAAATCCATCTATTTTCCCTATTTGAAGTCTAACTTAAAGTATCCCGTCAATAAATGTATCCAAACGAAGGAGTATATCCTTGTTACTAAAGGTAGAAGCACCTTGACCACCTTCCGGCTTCAAAAGGCAAAATGATTACCTCTGTATGAACGCAAGAGCTCTTTTTATAACAATTTTCCTCAACGATGAGAAAAAAGGGGAAGTAAGAGAGTAAGATAGAGGGAGAGAGAGTGGATAAGTAAGATCGCCATACACACTACGTTTTGTATTGTGGGTGATCTGTCAAATCAGAATGAAACGCAAGTCCTCAAATATCAATAAAGTTTATTTTTATTTTTTCTCGAACAGGCAGTTTCCTTGTCAATTTAATTTTTTTCTCTGGATCGCAGCGAAATGTGTATGAAAGCAATTCCATTAGCTTTTACTATATCAGACCTCAAATTTGCTTTCTTCTGAGCTATTACCAATTACTGAGTGACATTATTTAGTATTGACATGTCAAATTTACATTAACTGAGATCTGTCTTTTCATAATATAGTAGAAAACGTTACCTGCTTCAAGGTAATTGCAATTAAGAGGGGAAAAATGAATAAATTGATAATCACATTGTTACCATTATTTGCTTGTCTTTTTTCTCTCAAACTCTCTGTAATTTTCTCCATCCGCTTTCGCTTCCCCTCTCTTCTTCTCCCCTTTTAAAATCTAAACATCGATAATATTAACACATTGTACAATCACGTATTCATAACTAGTGACGTGACAAAATTTCCAAAGGGCAACACAGCTGTGCAAATGCAATAAATTTTGCAATATCGACTTTATGTTGACACATTTCTTTCTAATTGCCTGCTTTGACTATATTTGTGTATAGGCCTATGTCTATGTTTTTTGTAGGGGAGTTTTATAAATGGAGGTGCATTTTCACCACGCAGAATAACAGTGCAAGTCGATAGCCGACCAGCGGGCAATATCACACATGGCTGAAAAGAAAATATTCAAATGAAATAATTTAACATATTTCCCACATGCCTATAACAATGAAATCACACAGAATTGTAGTCAAAGGTATGCTTGAAATATATGTGAAATAAAAATTCAAAAATATTGTTTAGTTTTGTTTTAAATAAATTTACAGAATTCGCTATTTCTACCAACTGACTGCTGATGTGTGTGTGTCTGGCGCGCGCGCGTGGGGCAGACTGTGTGCATAGGCAGTGCGATCACCAACATAATACATACACTTAAACAGCAGTTAGCTATTCGTATGTAGTGATAATTCTAATGCACTCGATTATGCAGAAACATGTCAGGAATATTGATGTATGCATATCACAGATATTGAGAGATATTGATATGAATATCCCTCTTAATATTTTATATGAGGCGAGTTGGCTCAGTCGGTAAGGGGTCTGCCCCGGGGGTCTGCCTGTCGAACAAAAGGCAGATGAATGAAGCCTGCGTTGTTTCATAGACGCAGGCTATGCTAGAATGAAAAAACATTACGTTCCTATGATAAGACGTTAAATGGATGCCCGTGTAGAGAAGGTTCATCACCTTTGCACGTTAAGCACCCATTGTACTATCGTATACGAGAAGGGGAAACCTCCGTGAAGGGGTCCACGTACCTTTACAACCCCAATCACTCACAGGCATGCCCAGGTGACGCCAATTACTTAATAATGATAACAATAATGATAAATATAATAATGAAGATTTAGTGAAATCTATCTGTACCAGCAATCGGATTTTTTTTTTTTTTTTTTTTTGGGGGGGGGGGGGAGGACTTTATTCCAATTCCGGCATTATGGAGGGTTTATATCAACAATTTTTTGTATGGTGATTTTGAAAATCCCTTAAAAACTAGTTTCATGGAATTGGGGCAACGCAAACCTATACATAAGAAAATATTTTTTGTGAGATTATGAAAAACTGTATGTCAAATTTGAAAGGACATACCATTTAAATGACAAAATCTTATTTGTTTGATCAAAATCGGTTTAGAGACGGCTGAAATATTCATAAATATAACCATTTCTAATATTATGTGGGGCACCACAAATACTTGATAATTTTGAACCAGCCGTTAAAATTAAAAGATAGCGCCTTATACGATTTATTCCAGCCAATGCCAATGTTAGCTTTTTGTTGACCCGTGTATTGTTTTTATTAATTCATTAATTTATCAACAATCACCGTTTTTCTAAAAAGTGGAGCTGAATAGCCTTCATAGCATTTTCAGGTCCTAAAAGGGCACAGAAAATGTCATAAATATGAATAAGAGCAAAACCCATGCACTTTGAAAGCATTTGCAAGAACTCAAATATCCTTTTAAAAACAAACCCTTACGTTATTTGGACGAATTTTCTGAGGGTCATATCCAACCGACAAAAAGCCGCAAGACAATTATGTCCATCGTTTCTATAGCATTTGGCGGATATGCGTATTTCAAATTATTTAACACCAGTAGCGATTCTACAGGGGGGGGGGGGGGGCTCGGATAGGGCTTTAAGCCCACCACAGTATAAAGAAGTCCCCCCATCCTCATTGAATGAATTAAAACGAGAAACATGTAAACATGAATGCAGGAACTCATATAGGCAAAAACCAAACCAGTCTTTGGCGAAGTAATACATCAGGGTAATGATGCCTCGTGTAAAAATTTGCTTACAGAAAAACCCCGTATTCAATTAAATTATTTTCTTTGCCCGAAATACCAGCCAAACTTACTGATACTTTTGGTCAATAGTACTTAAACGTTTGCCTATAAAATGTTATTCGACTTTGGAACAATAACAAAAAAGGATAAACATATGAAACCCCTGGCATGGACGTTTGAAGGTCTTTGGCTCGTGAAACAGTTTGTGAAACACTGGTTCAGTCTTCGATAGTAAGAACATTAAACAGAAACGGTTTCTCTTGTTGGTTGACTAGCTTTGTATATTGTTTGGACCTCTGTGATGTGGCGCTTTCTTGCATTCTTACAAAAGAGCTTACTTAGACCTTTCTGAAACCAGCGATATTGAAATGAATAAATAAAAGGATTTATCCACATGTTACCGAACCCCAGAAACACAGATATCTGGTACAGCAAGCCGTTCACATCCACTCCACCACCACAGCAGTTGAAGATAAAAAGTGACACCATATTTATGGACCAACATAAGATGAAGAAGAACGAAACAATCAACAAAGTTTTTATGGTGTTTCTTCTCGCTCGACTGCGATAATCGACGGTACACGAACTTTGGCTTGGTGTTGTTAAATTAGCTTTGGTTCGGCTGCGCTTAGATTGGAATGCGCGCATTCCGTCGCTTCGGAGCCGAAAGGCGATCGCTGAGTAGACGAATATCATAGCTATCACAGGCAAGATGAATTTCAGAAAAACGGTTGCAGGTTGAAAAACAGTCTTGAAAGCGGGATGAGAGAAAAATGACACTTTGCATTCATTTCCGTCCAAACGGGCAAAATACCCCGAAGAAAGCTGAAACAGAAACCCGATAGCCCATGGGAGAAATGCGATGAACTTTAGGAGCTTCGAGTTGGTTTGTCTACGGAAACGGATGGGGTAAAATACGGCACAGAAACGTTCCAGTGTCATCAGGACAAGGTTTAAGGAGCTGGCGGTGATGAGTGCCCAGAACGGATACCTAGTGTACCAGTATTTGCAGAGAAAACTTGCCAGAGCTGGTCGATCTATCGGTAGTGGTGGTAGTGGTATGACATAATTGGCGATGAGGATAACAGATGTACATAGGTCGATCAGGGATTGGTTGGCAATGAAAAGATTAGTGACACCGTGGAGATCGTCGACTAGGGCGATGACAAGGAGCACGAGGCCATTGCCGACGATACCGAATATGCCAAACAAGGCGTACACAATCGTAGTTGGGAGGTAGCTCAAATCATCGGACATCGAGTTTTGTGTAGTGTTATCCATACTTGAGACAATTCCTCGACTAGTGACAGAAATCTATTTAGTTTTCAAACTGCAAGAACAATCCGACCGCTTACTCCTTACAGACTCCGTAGAAAAGTTGTTACAGGTCTTTACAATTGATCGTCGGGGAGTATTTACATATATATTTATAATCATATGCAATTAAAACGATAGGTTTCAGGCAATTCCTGCGCGTTGTCCATTAATTTAAAAGCTGTTGCTATCAAAATCAGTTTGACAACAGAATCAAGACCATCACTTATCACTTTTCCCTATTTGAAGTCTACCTAAAAGTATCCCGTCAATAAATATATGCAAAGATGTTACTAAAGGTAGAAGCTCCCTGACCACCTTCGAGCTTCGAAAGGCAAAATGATTACGCCTGTAGGACGTAAGAGCTCTTTTTATAACAATTTTCCTCAATGGTGAGAAAAAAAGGGAAAGTAAGAGAGAGTAGAGGGAGAGAGAGAGAGAGAGAGAGAGAGAGAGAGAGAGAGAGAGAGAGAGGAGAGAGAGAGAGAGAGAGAGAGTGAGTATGATCGCCTATACACACCAGGCTTTGCATTGTGGGTGATCTGTCAAATCATGATATACGCAAGTCATCAAATATCATTAAAGTTTTGTATATTTTGTTATCAAACAGGCGGATTCCTCGTCAATTCATTTTTTTTTCTCTGGATCGCAGCGAAATGTGTATGAAAGCGATTCCATGAGCTGTAACTATAGCAGACCATATATTTTCTTTGTTCGGAGCTATAAAGGATATATATTACTGAGTGACATTATTTAGTATTGACATGTCAAATTTACATTAACCGAGATCTGCTACGATTACCATTGCTCTCAATAGGTAGCACTGGGTTTGTGTGTCTTTTCAGAATATAGTAGAAAACGTTATCTGCTTCAAGGTAATTGCAATTAAGAGGGGAAAAAATGAATAAACTGATGATTACATTGCTACAATTATTTGCTAGTTTCGCTTCTTTTCTTTCTTTCTTTTAAACTCTCTGTAATTATCTCCATTCTTTTGCTCTCGCTTCCCCTTTCTTCTTCTCCCCTCTTTTATTATTATTGTTTTGCAATCTAAACATCGATAATATAAATACATTGTACAATAATATATTTATAACTAGTAACTTGGCAAAATTTCCAAAGGGCAAAAAGCCTTGAAAATACAATAAATTATGCAATATCGACTTTCTGTTGACATATTTCTCTCTAATTGCCTGCTTTGAATATATATATTTTTGTATAGGCCTATGTCTCACTAAATATCATGGCTATCATGGAATACTGTACACTCTAATGTCACTAATGTTAATAGAATAATTGTTTTTAACTTTGAACCAAGGTTCTTGCCTTTTTGTAAATATGTTATATACATCTTTATCTTTTATTTAGTATAAAATACCAAAGCTTTGTATTTAATCACAAAACATATTTACCCTAGATGTAGAAAAGCTTGTAGTTTAAGTATGTACTCATAGTTATTCGTATTTATTCATTACATTCTCATTCATTGCCGATACTTTTGTGTGTTAGTGGTACCAGACACGATTAGCATTAAATGCTATTTTCTGTTCCCATTTATCCTTTCAATGTTAACCATTCACATTTGATTGTTATATTGATGTACTTTTGTTTGGATAATAAAATTCAAACTCAAACTCAAACTCAAACTCACATGATATGGAAATTGGGGAGTGTAAAAAAAAAATAACATAAATTATGTATATCTAAATTAGATCCTCCTAAACAAGTGGTTTGAAATCGGACGGGAAAAAGAGACTGAAGTTTACTGCAAAAGAGGCGACCAATACCAATCGTGCAATTAGCAAGATATATTTGCTAATTCGAAATCCTACTTTCGGCAAAAGGTCATGAGGCTGAAATTTAATAGGCCCACTTGAGACGCAGCACCTTTTCGATGGAATCTGATTTACATGTATAAAGTCTTCGCACTTTTTTCACACTCCGGCAAATCAAATTAAATCTCCTAATGGAGTATGAATAACATTGAGATGTTTATTCCGAACAAATGAAAGATTTAAAACAAAATACAGATTGAAGGACCACAGAATCGATATCGAATTTCAATTTACTTTATGAGACAAAAAAAATCAAAGAGGAATCGGGTTTCATATGTTTTACACAGTTTTTTAGGTGTAAGATTTTTATTCAATTTGTTTCCATACTGAAATGTCGAATAACTTTTTCAAAAGTCACAAGATATAACAAATTTACCTTTTCTAGTTATATTCTGCTCGATACTAACCGCTTAGTATGGCATAATGATGAATATAATTATAATAATCTACAAACACATACGATTTTGTACTTTAACACATTTTTAGCAGCTGGTATTAAAACTTTCCTGTTTTAAAAAACCATTGCACTGTTGAATGTTTCATTATCTACGAGGTTAAGTGTAACAGTCAACCTATAGTTACAAATGCATGATTACACGATCTCTAGATCTGTTTTTTCCTTAATAATCACTCAACATACAATATATACATTGATCTAACTATTGAAATTACTTGATTCTTATGAAACAAAAATTACACATTCTCCATATTTCTTAGAATTATCATTGAACCCTAAATTTACAGATTTAGATTTAAAAAACGAGTTACAATGCACATTAAGTCAATATATACAATTAAACAGGAGTAAGCTATCTGTATGTAGTGATAATTCAGTACACTCAAATATATAGAAATATGTCAGGAATATTGATATATACATATTACTGCCGTTCCTCCTTACTACTATCACATTGCATGCAGTAACTAACTAAAATGATTGCTAGCCCTATTATCTAGGAAATGACATATAGTTATACATATTTTTTCCCCCTCTTTTCGTTTTCCCTGATTTTATTTTTCCTCTTTGTGTTGTTTCGTTTTTTTAACCATTTGTATAAAACTGCTATTTTGTTTGTAACTATACTCTTCAGATGATGTTTGAAGGTTTGCATGGTGGTATGAATAATCACGGAAGAGGTTTACGGTACACCATGTGTAAAGTCCTCGAGGGACTGAGGAAAGTGGATAGAAAATAGAAGTGAGATGGAAAGGCGAGAAAGTGGAGGTTGGAAGGAAGAGTATCTTTCCGAAGTGAGTATAGTCCTGAAAAGGACTGTAAACCAGAAAAGTTGTAGGAGGGATGAGAGGTTTGAGTAGAAGACTGGATTGAGTTGGAGAGTTGAGTAGGCGAGTAGAGTTGCAGAGCAGGAGCAGGAGAGTAGACTCGACGTTTCGGACAGGTTGACTGTCCGTCTTCAGGACTGTCCGTCTTCACTCCTGAAGACGGACAGTCAACCTGTCCGAAACGTCGAGTCTACTCTCCTGCTCCTGCTCTGCAACTCTACTCGCCTACTCAACTCTCCAACTCAATCCGGTCTTCTACTCAAACCTCTCATCCCTCCTACAACTTTTCTGGTTTACAGTCCTTTCCAGGACTATACTCACTTCGGAAAGATACTCTTCCTTCCAACCTCCACTTTCTCGCCTTTCCATCTCACTTCTATTTTCTATCCACTTTCCTCAGTCCCTCGAGGACTTTACACATGGTGTACCGTAAACCTCTTCCGTGATTAACTATACTCTTGTTATTAGTTCTTGAATTTTAATGTTCCTTCTTTATGCAGGACCATTTATGTAAAACTGCCTGCGAGCTGATCAATGTTTTCCTGTTAAAAGATTTTTAATAAATAAATAAATAAATGAGAGATATTGAGAGATATTGATATAAACATCCCATATCGTATTTATATGAGGTGAGTTGGTTCAGTCGGTAAGGGGTCTGCCTGTCAAACAAAAGATCGTGGGTTCAAATCCAACTCAGGCGGATGAATGAAGCCTGTGTTGTGTGTTAACGTACCTCTCCCCTGTTTCATGGTCGCAGGCTATGTTACAATTGAAAACATTACATTCCTCAGATAAGAAGATACATGGAGGCCCCTGTAACGACAATTTTACGAAGTCCCCCATCCTGATTGAATGAATTAAAACGAGGCACACGTAAACATGAATGCAGAAACTCAAATAGGCCAAAACCAAACCAGTCTTTCACGAAGTACTACATCAGGTTAATGATGCCTCGTGTAAAATTGGCTTACAGAATAACGCCGTCTTAAATTAAATTATTTTCTTTGCCGTGAATACGAGCCAAACTTACTGATACTTTTGTTCGATAGTACTTTAACGTTTGCGTATATATTCTACTTTGGAATGTTAAAAAAAAAATGGGAAAAAATGATGAAACCCTGGCATGGACGTTTGGAGGTCTTTTGCTATTGGAACAGTGTGTGAAACATTGGTTTAGAGTTTTAGAGTGAGAAATTTAAACAAAAACAGTTTCACTAGATGGTTGCCGCGCTTTGGATATTATTTGGACCTCTGCGATGTGGCGCTTTCTTGCATCCTTGCAAAAGACCTTTCTCAGACCTTTCTGAAACCAGCGATATTGAAATGAATAAATAAAAGGATTTATCCACATGTTACCGAACCCCAGAAACACAGAAATCTGGTACAGCAAACCGTTCACATCCACTCCACCACCACAGCAGTTGACGATGAAAAGTGACACCATATTCGTGGACCAACATAAGATGAAGAAGATCGAAACAATCATCAGAGTTTTTATGGTGTTTCTTCTCGCTCGACTGCGATAATCGACGGTACACGAACTTTGGCTTGGTGTTGTTGAATCAGCTTTGGTTCGGCTGCGCTTAGGTTGGAATGCGCGCATTCCGTCGCTTCGGAGCCGAAATGCGATCGCTGAGTAGACGAAGATCATAGCTATTACAGGCAAGAAGAATTCCAGGGTAAAGGCTGCAGGTTGAAAAACAGTCTTGAAAGCGGGATGAGAGAAATGTGACAAAATGCACTCGTTTCCCTCCAAACGGGAAAAATATCCCGAAGAAAGCTGAAACAGAAACCCGATAGCCCATGGGAGAAATGCAATGAACTTTAGGAGCTTGGAGTTGGTTTGTCTGCGGAAACGGATGGGGTAAAATACGGCAAAAAAACGTTCCAGTGTCATCAGGACAAGGTTTAAGGAGCTGGCCACTATGAGTGACCAGAACGCAGACCTAATGTACCAATATTTGCAGAGAAACCATGCAAGAGCTGGTCGATCTATCGGTAGTGGTGGTAGTGGTATGACATAATTGGCGATGAGGATAACAGATGTACATAGGTCGATCAGGGATTGGTTGGCAATGAAAAGATTGGTGACACCGTGGAGATCATCGACTAGGGCGATGACAAGGAGCACGAGGCCATTGCCGGCGATACCGAATATGCCAAACAAGGCGTACACAATCGTAGTTGGGAGGTAGTTCAAATCCTCGGACGTCGAGTTTTGCGTAGTGTTATCCATACTTGACACAAATTCTTGACTGATGACAGAAATCTATATGGTCTTCAAACCCGAAGAAACAATTCGATAGCTTTCTCCTCACAGACTTGTTGTAAAAAGCTCTTCAAAATGAATACTTGAGGAAAGTGTATACTTATATATGCAATTAACACGATGGATTTGCCGCTGTTCATTCAAAGACGATTGGCATCAAATGAGATCATTTTGACAACACCATCTGATCAATCACTTATCACTTCTTTCCCTATTTGAAGTCGTACTAAATGTGTGCAAACGACTGAATATCACTTATACTTTCGACCACCTACCAGCTTCAAAAGGCAAATTGATTACGCCTGTATGAATGAAACAGCTCTTTTTATAGTTATTTCCTCAAAGACGAGAGAAAAAGAGAAAGTAAGAGAGCAAGACAGAGAGAGAGAGAGAAAGAGAAAGAGAAAGAGAGAGAGAGAGAGGGGAGGAGTAAGATCGCGCGCACACACTACGTTTTGCATCATGGGTAATTCGTAAAATAAGGATGAAACGCAAGTCCTCATATTTAATTAAAATGTCAACTTATTTGTTTTCATCGAACAGGAAGATTCCTAGTCAAATCGTTTTTTTCTCTGGATCGCAGCGAAATGTGTATGAAAGCAATTCCCCTAGCTATATACCAGACCATATACTAGCTTCGTTTGGAGCTATTCAGGATATTTACTACTGAGTGCCATAATCTAATAATGATATATCGAATTTACATCATCGACCTGTATCTGCTACGACCAATATTACTATTAAAAGTATAGGCCTATATTAAAGAATCAAATTTATCGAAGTACCGGGTTCGTATGTCTTTTTCAGAGGATAGTGGAACAACTTATCTGCTTCAAAATTTTTCATATTAGTGAGAACAAAAATGAATAAATCAATTATTACATCATGACAATTATTTGCTAGTCTTGCTTTAGTTTTTATACTCTCTGTCATTTTATCCATTTTCGCTTTCGCTTCGCTTTTTTTTCTTCTTCCTTTTTTAAATGTGTACTTTTTTTTTAACAATCGAGAAATCTATAATATAAACACATTATACAATAATATATTTAAAACGTGCAATGTGACAGAGTTTCAAATGGGCAACCAAGCTTTGAAAATACAATAAATTATGCAATATCGAATTTCGTTAGACAAATCTCTCTCTAATTGCCTGCTTTAACTATCTTTTTGTATAGGCCTGTTTCTAACTAAAAGATGCTATCAAGAGTTTAAGAAAAATCACATTAAAACACTGTAGGCATGATATGGACACGGGGAGTGTGAAAAAGATAACATAAATTATGTATATCTAAATTAGATCCAAATACAAAGGTGGTTTGGAATTGGACAGAAAAAAAAGAGATTGAAGTTGAGATTCGACCGATACTAAACATGCAATTATCAAGATATATTTGCAAATTTGGATATCCTACTTTGAGTAAAAGGTCTAAATGCTGTAATTTCTAGGCCCACCTGCAATTTAAAAAAAGCTAGAATCCTCTTTTTGGTGACAATAGCTCTACTAATAATGGCAGGAACACATTATTTTCAATTCAATAACTACGTTTTCCTGAAATATGCATCAATGCTAGAGCGAGATTTTAAGAAGTTGTGTTCTACATAAAATAGAACACAAGTTTATACGCATGTCCAGATATGGATTTAGGAAATCTATCTGACATTCTCAACGTGCTTTATTTTTATCTGCATTTGGGGTAACTCTAAAAACTGTTACAACCTCTTGACTATGGTGGTTTCTTTTGTACCTGCAAAATACTTTTCTCAAACCTTTCTGAAACCAATGATATTGGAATGAATAGATAAGCGGATTGATCCACATATTTCCAAAACCCATAAACACAGAAATCCGGTAGAGCAGGCCATTAACGTCAATCCCACCACCACAACACATCAAAGAAAAAGCTACAAATTGGTTTAAAGACCAACATAAAATGAAAACGACTGAGACAATTAACACTGTTTTGATTGTGTTTCTTGTTGCACGACTGCGGTAATCGATGACTTTCTGGTTCCTTGAACTGGAGCCAGATTGTACCTGACCAGGCTGACGGCTTGTAGCAAGTGTGTCTATTCGCAACCGTATTGCAATAGACGTGTACACTACGATCATCACAATCACTGGAAATAACAATTCCAAGAAGATAGCTACGGCTCCAAAAGCTGTTTTTAAAACGGGGTCCGAGCCGGAAATAAATCGGAAAACACATTGGTTGTCTTCGAGGTGTGTGGAGAAAATCAGAGTTAACTGGAACAAAAAGCCGATGGTCCACGGGAGAACTGCGATTAGCTTCAAGCATCGAAAGTTGGTATGGCTCCGGTAGCGGATGGGATGGAAAATCGCACAAAGGCGTTCCAGTGTCATCAGGACAAGGTTCAGGGAGCTGGCGACTATGAGGGACCAGAAAAGGTACTTAGTGTACCAAAATCGGCAGAGAAACTGAGCAAGGATTGGTCGACCTGATGGCAACGGAGGTAGAGGTACGACGAAACTAGCGATGAGGACGACCGATGACGAAAGGTCGATTAAGGATTGGTTGGCGATAAAAAGATTGGTGACACCACGGAGATTTTTGACTAGGGCGATGACAAGGAGCACGAGACCGTTGCCGGTGATACCAAATATACCAAACACAGTGTACACAATCGTAGTGGAGAGCTGGTTCCATTCCGAAGTCGTCCCAGCTTGTGTAGCGTTATCCATACTTAACAAAACCTAAGAAGAATACCACCAGAATTATAGAAATATAGTACGATTCAAGGTTTGTTTAGAGTGGTTAAAATTATTTCTATGTCTCTTTAAATCCAAGTTCCTCAAAAGTATTTGTAGTAAATTTGTTCCTCTGTTATAAGCGAACACGAGAAAATCTTCCAGAAATCTTTGTTGTTTCTCATTTGAATATTTAGCATGTTTCAGGATATATTCACACATTCGTTTAAGATAAGTGGCAAAACTGATCTGTCACGTAATTCCTTTTAGGTACATGCAATGCAATCCAGTATTATCAGATTCGCGATTATGATCGAAGAGAGCCTAAAGGCACTGATGAGACAGCAGTTCAGGATCCATTCAAGAAAGACTGGGCAAGTTTCTAGTTGCATGCGAATAGCAAGGTGATGAGAATTAAGTCACTCACATATCACTTGTCATTTCTGTCAATAATCGTAATTGCTCTTGCTCGTCCCATCGACAAAGCTTCAGTCAAAGATATGCTATAATCTAAATTAAGCCGTTCACTTTGGAGGATCTACAAACAGCAAAAATATACACATCGCTCATGTCGGTGAGTCCGGCCATGGTACACACAGCTCTCCTTCGATCAAGTTGTTTGAGGAAGTTGAATGTGAGACTCATAAAAATGTGGCCATTTATATACATTTCCCACAAGACTTCATTCGATTTTCGTCAGTATAGGGAGATTTATGCCCGACAGCTCAGAATACCACGCTAACCTCTTGTGTTGAGTAACATAAGAGTGTTATCAAAACAAATGAAGTAAAGCCCTTCTTGTTCTTATAGCAAATGAATATATTTGCAATAAACATGAGAATTTATTCTCGACACACTCACTTTATATTTCATTTTGCGAAGTAGCTGAAAGGCCTTTAGAAAACACGTGACGGAAGTGAAAACAACCTTTAGAATGCAAGAACCGAACAACAACAAAAAACGGACAAAAATACATATTCATAATTTATATCACATTTTCTCTATATTATCCCCAATCATTGTACCATCGACGGTGCTGGCAATCCGAAAAGGACTGTCAACGTATAAAGGCCACACCCCTATTTCTTCACGTGCTTCATACAAATGTGTTTATTGGTTAAAATATATACCATGTGATAGCTTTATTGACTGATATCTGTATGTTGCTCTTACTATTAGCTAGTTTGTCCCATGTCGTCGGCTTCGAGCATTTTCACCAGAGACTTACACAAAGTGAATGAAAAATCAAGATTGTTGCTTTCTTTCGTCGTCTTCTTCTTTTTAGATAGTGAAAATTATAATGATCATTGTTCGACTCTCAGAATTGTAAGAATTACCTGAAAAAGGGCAGTGTCTAGCATCTACAGATTTTAAATTGTCCATATATCGAATGTACAAACTTACTTGCAAAACATTCAGACTCATTACCAAATATTTTTAGAGATACAATTAAATAGTGTGTATATGTATTTACCTTCAGAAAGAAAATGTCGAAATTGGCAGAAACTGAAATGATGTACGTCATGTCTATACTGTAATTATAAGGACTTTTGTAAATCCAGGTGGTTGCAATTTTTCCGTTTCTCCCTTTTCGTGAACACCAACCTGACCAAACAGAATAGCAACATAATATTATATTATACCCCAAAAGCCACCCTTTATCTTCACGATCATTAACAGAATCTCAACCAACGAACAAAGTAAAACGAAACTTAGCTCTCAATCACAGGTTAAGGATGGGGGGGGGGGGGGTATTCGTAATTGGCCTACTCTGTCATGACAAAAGATGTTTTGTCGTTAGTGGAAAATTAATACGAATTCTTAAATATGCAGCTGTTCCGGAGCGATATTTTAAGGAGTTTTGTTCTACATTTAAATGCATGTCCAGATATGGACATAGGAAATATATCCGATATTCTCAACGTGTTTTATTTTGTACCTGTTTTGGGGTAACTCTAGACACTGTTACAACCTCTTGGCTATGGTGGTTTCTTGTGTACCTGCAAAATACTTTTCTCAAACCTTTCTGAAACCAATGATATTGGAATGAATAGATAAGCGGATTGATCCACATATTTCCAAAACCCATAAACACAGAAATCCGGTAGAGCAGGCCATTAACGTCAATCCCACCACCACAACAAATCAAAGAAAAAACTACAACTTGGTTCAAAGACCAACATAAAATGAAAACGATTGAGACAATTAACACTGTTTTGATTGTGTTTCTTGTTGCACGACTGCGGTAATCGATGACTTTCTGGTTCCTTGAACTGGAGCCAGATTGTACCTGACCAGGCTGACGGCTTGTAGCAAGTGTGTCTATTCGCAACCGTATTGCAATAGACGTGTACACTACGATCATCACAATCACTGGAAATAACAATTCCAAGAAGATAGCTACGGCTCCGAAAGCTGTTTTTAAAACGGGGTCCGAGCCGGAAATAAATCGGAAAACACATTGGTTGTCTTCGACGTGTGTGGAGAATATCAGAGTTAACTGGAACAAAAAGCCGATGGTCCACGGGAGAACTGCGATTAGCTTCAAGCATCGAAAGTTGGTATGGCTCCGGTAGCGGATGGGATGGAAAATCGCACAAAGACGTTCCAGTGTCATCAGGACAAGGTTCAGGGAGCTGGCGACTATGAGTGACCAGAATAGGTACTTGGTGTACCAAAATCGGCAGAGAAACTGAGCAAGGGTTGGTCGACCTGATGGCAACGGAGGTAGAGGTACGACGAAACTAGCGATGAGGACGACCGATGACGAAAGGTCGATTAAGGATTGATTGGCGATAAAAAGATTGGTGACACCACGGAGATTTTTGACTAAGGCGATGACAAGGAGCACGAGACCGTTGCCGGTGATACCCAATATACCAAACACAGTGTACACAATCGTAGTGGAGAGCTGGTTCCATTCCGAAGTCGTCCCAGCTTGAGTACCGTTATCCATACTTAACAAAACCTAAGAAGAATACCACCAAAATTCCACCAGAATTATAGAAATATAGTGCAATTCAAGGTTTTTAGATAAGTTAAAATAATTTCGATGTCTCTTTAAATCCAAGTTCCTCAAAACTATTTGTAGTAAATTTTTTCCTCTGTTATAAGCAAACACGAGAAAATCTTCCAGAAATCTTTGTCGTTTCTCATTTAAATATTTAGCATGTTTCAGGATATTTTCACACATTCGTTTAAGATAAGTGGTAAAACTAATCTGTCACTAATTCCTTTTTAGGTATATGCAATCCAGTTCCATCCGATTGGCGATTATGACAAAAGAGTGCCAAAAGGCGCTGATGAGACAGCAGCCGATGATCAATTTAAGAAATACTGGACAAGTTTCTAGTCGCATGCAAGTAGCAAGGTGATGAAAATTCAGTCACTCACATATCACTTGTCATTTTTGTTAATGATCGTCATCGCTCTTGCTCGTCCCATCCACAAAGCTTCAGTCAAAGATACAAACCAAGCCGTTCACTTTCGAGGATCTACAAACACCAAAAATATACACATCACTCGTGTTGGTGAGTCAGGCCAGGCTACAAACAGCTCTCCTTCGATCAAGTGGGTTGAGGAACTTGAATCTGAGACTTATAAGAAGTGTGCCCATTTATATACATTTGCCATAAGCTAAGTTTTCATTCAAGCAACAACAAAAGAAAAACCATTTAAATCCCATTTTCTCTCAAATATTCTCCATCACTGTACCATCGACGGCGCTGACAATCCGGAAAGGACTGAAAAGGTGTGAAGGACACACCTCTATATCCTCACGTGCTTCATACAAATACGGTCATTGGCTAAAATATACCATGTGACAGACTAATATTTGTATGATAATTTTACCGATCTCATTTGTCGTCGGCTTTGAGCATGTTTGCCAGAGACTTGCACAAACTTAACGAAAAATCAGGTTGTTTTATTTATTTTATTTTTGTATATTTCTCTCAAATAGCGAAAATCATGATATGATCATTCGTCTACTCTCGGAATTGTAGGAATTACCTGAAAAGTGTTTCGCACCCTTTCTCCCAACAAATGTTTACATAATCTCAACCCACATCAAGATTTATATAAAATAAAAATATTATTTTGTGCAACAGTATCTCGATCACAAAAATGAGAGCATAGTTTTCCAATAAACTCATTTGCTGAAATGTTGAAAGTTGTGAAGAATATTTTTTCAAGTTGAAGCACAGACTGCGGCAAAATTTTCAGTTCATGCTGTGTCAGCCTTTCTTTTGTAACATAAGCTTTTAAAATCTGAATGAAATTTTATTGCAAATTTATAAGCCGGAACGATGGACATTTAACACGTATCCATACAATTTGTTTGAATCAAATTATCGCCTATTTTTAATAATCCATGGATAATACAACGTAATAAATGATGAAGAGCGTTATTATGACAAACAGAAATTAAAGTTTAAACCGGCACTTTATTTGACTTGATATGCAATTTTGAATTGTTAAAATCGGTGAAACGTAGGCCTAAAAGGCTTTTATAGAATGGCACCATATCTCTCTCCCTTAAATAAGTACTGATCAACAAAAAAAAAATCGCATTTGATTATATTTGTTGACAAAATGGCAAAAATAGCAAGTTTTTTGGAGCAAGTTTAACGTCATACAATTCCTTCTATAAAAACCTTGTTATACTATCTTGGTCTACAATACGTCCTCATTTTTCGGCACTGGTCAGCGAACAACGCAACGGGGACTCCCGAATTTTTGGAAATGTTAAAACCTTCTGCAAAAGACCACTGTACGTCACTATTGCGTTCTGACGTCGTTATTAAGTTATCATATCCCATACGACGCGGTGCCGGTGGATAATCATGGTAGTACAAAACTTGGCCGTCGAAAAATCTCAATTGCTGAAGACATATTCAAATCTTTAGAAAAGTGTTAAGGACCTTTAAAGAGAAGGTTGAGTTCTGAGACAGAGATATAATGAACAATATCTGAGCTTTTTCATTCCTTTCATGTTAGTGTGGAAGAATATCCTAGAAAAAGTGTCTCCTGAAAAAAACTGCTGTTCAATTGGTTTGCCATCAATCGAAATATGACAAGAATAGATGAGGATGTGTTCGGACCAGACTTTTAACAAACCTGTTTGGGTAGTTCGTCTCATTTTAATAATAATAATAATATTAATGATTCCAAACACCTTACTATGTAGCACATTCTCATGTGGTGCATAGTCCAGTGGGGGGTTTCACAAAGATCCTTATTCTAAAAGGCATACAATGTTGATTCAAATCATTCATATTTTCTATCGTCAAAGAGATTTCGTGCATGTTTTTAATGTGGAATTTATGCAAAGTCTAAGATATATATTCTATTTAAAGGCTACAAATGGCTCCCCCTAATGTTTAAGTCAAACTGAGAGTTAAGTTCGACTTAGGATCCTTGTGAAACACCCCCAAAGACGGTTAAATTCAATCGCATGATCAGAACTTCATCCTTATCTTTAAACAGACACCGTTTCATTTGAACTTGTCTTAGCTGTAGATATTGTTGGCATCTCCTTGCTATGGCGGCTCCTTGTCTTCTTGCAGAAGACCTTCCTCAGACCTTTCTGGAACCAACGGTACTGAAACGAATAGATGAAAGGATTAATCCACATGTTACCGAACCCCATGAAAACAGATATTTGATATAGCAAGCTGTTGAGGTCCACTCCTCCGCCACAGCAACTGAACACGATAAATAACACCTGATTCAAGGACCAACATACGATGAAAAAGAGTGACACGATCAACATCGTTTTTATGGTGTTTCGTCGAGCACGACTTCGGTAATCAATGGCTTGTTGGGGCCTTGATGCTGCACCAACTCTTGTTCGAAGTCGTGGAGAATCAAATGCGCGCATTCCGTCGCTTCGTAGCTTTATGACGATAGATGTGTACACGATGAGCATCACAAGTACAGGCAAGATGAATTCCAGAAAGATGGCTACAGGTTGAAACACTCTCCTGAAGAGGGGGTTAGAGAAAAATGTGAAGATACATCTGTTGTCCTCGAGATGGGCAAAGAAGCCCGACGAGAGCTGAAACAGGAATCCGATAGCCCATGGGAGAGTTGCTATGAGCTTCATGCATCTGGAGTTAGGCTGACTCCGGAAGCGGATGGGGAAGAAAACCGCACAAAAACGCTCAAGTGTCATTAGGGTGAGGTTTAGAGAACTGGCAACTATCAGAGACCAAAAGGGATAGCCAGTGTACCAGAAACGGCAGAGGAATCGGGCAAGAGTTGGTCGATCTATCGGTATTGGCGGCAGTGGAACGACATATAAAGCGATGATGAAAACCGATGTTAAGAAGTCGATCAGGGATTGGTTGGCGATGAAAAGATTGGTAACACTGTTGAGATCATCGACTAGGAAGATGACAAGGAGCACGAGGCCGTTTCCGGCGATACCGAATACACCAAACGTAGTGTATACAATCGTTGTGGAGAGCTGGTTAGATCCTTCATTCGTTGCAACTTCTGTACCGTTATCCATGTTATAAAAGTCACACTGTAATGCGATTTGGTTATCGCAACATAAATTTTAAAACAATTCTGTTGACGGCTGTTTGATTTTGCTATTGCAGCAACTGCTTCAAATATTATCTTTAAGTCATTTAACGGGCGTATAATTTTGCTATTGCAGCAGTTTGCTTAAAGTATATCTTTAAGTCCTTTGAGGCCGTATGATTTTGCTATTGCAGCAATTGCTGAAAAGTTATTTTTGAGTCCTTTGACGGTTGTATGATTTCGCTATTGCTTAAGATATAACTTTAAGTCCTTTGCTGGCTGTATGGTTTTGCTACTGCAGCAATTTCTTAAAAGGTATTTGAAGTCCTTTTACTGCTGTATGTGGGTAATTTTTAAGTGGAATGTCTCTTTAAATAGCCTGTTGAGGCAACCCTAATGCTCAGCGAGCGCGTTTTTTTTGCGTAATGAGGTAAGGTCATTTGGAAACGCGTTTGAGAAAGGAGCTCTCTGGCCGAAACTGATTTTAAAAGGTTTACTTTGTAGCACGTAACAATGGACGTATGCTGTGATTTGTGAGGTTTTGGAATCAACACATTGATAAGAACTCGACTCGGTCTCCTTGAATTAACATGCACTGTAAACAGAAAATGTTTATAACTATTTGAGACTACTCAAACATGCGGCATGAAAGTTTGGTTCAAACACATAAGATGTTTCTTGTTACGTTTTGAATATGAGGGAATTTAAAGAGTAATCCTTTAGAGACATTCGTCTATAAAAAGAGTAACAAAGCTCACACATCATATAGACAAATGTGCTGCTGCTGATTTCATTGTACAGATCGAGTTGGTGATGAAAAAAAAGAAGCTTCAAACACTACAACGAACCGTCTTCTTTTTCTCATAATTCAATGAAACGTCAAAGCTTCCTCGCTTCGCGCGGGAGGGGGAACTGAATTCAGACGATAAGGGTTAAGAGTCGAGAACGGTACAACAAATCGTCTTCTGTCTATAATAATTTAATGAAACGTCAAAGCTGCCGCATTTTGCGCGGGATGGGGGAAACTGAATTCTGAATTCAGACAATTAGGGTTAAGAGTCGAGAACGGTACTTCAAATCGTCTTCTTTCTATAATAAGTTAATGAAACGTCTAAGCTTCCGCGCTTCCCGCGGGAGGTAGGGGGGGGGGGGTGGACTGAATACATATGAGAGAAAGCCGGCGATTCGCTGTACTCCCAGATCGAAATTCCGATAGGATCCAATAGCTTAATGGACCATCAGAAACAATTAGAGATATTGGTGTATATTGGTTTCAATAGGGAAAGTGAAATATTGGACCAACAGAAACCAATAGAAAATATTTATTGGACCAACACCAACCCACAGAAAAAAATGCAGATGGACCAACAGAAAGCTTCTATTGGACCAACATCCACCCACGTCTTCTATGGGTTTCTGTTGGTCCATTAGATATTTTCTATGGGTTCCTGTTGGTCCATTGGAGATCTTTCTATGGGTTTCTAATGGTCCCATTTTCTGAATTCCCTATCGAAACCAATAGGCCTATTGGTTTTTAATGGTTGAATAGTCTATTGGCTTCTATTATTAAATCAATAATGATAAATCAAAATTCGATTTTAGCAACTGTTCACCAAAAAGGTATATTCTAATCTCAATTGCATTAACACTCACATAGTTCACTTGAAGTAAGTTTAAGAATATCCTTTATGTATCTAAAGGCTTGTACTACTCCATTTAATAAACATACATCAGGAAGCTGTAATGAATGGAGATCCCGTCCAAGAGGCTCCTTTGAAGTCATCCGTGGTACCGCGCGTCTTTTGTTTCCCCTACCGTAATCCCCTTAATCCCTTACAGCTCCCTAGTAGCACTAAGTCCTCCCTTTCCACACACAGCCCAGCCCAGCGAGCACGGCGGTTTTTGCTTTGCCGGCCCGTACTTTGGGTGAATAGTGGTGCTAACTTGACAACTTCTAGCCCTAAATCAATAAATGCGCAAACATATAACACAATTTCATTTAGTTCTTTAGGAAGATAAACCTTTGGACTACCTTCCTAGCTATGTACAAATTTCGGAAATTTTCGGAAAATGTCAATAATTAGATGAGAAAATCATGATTATGAAAATCTTTCATTCGCTCTAACTCATGATTTCCTTGGTCGATTTCGCTGGTTAAAATGGCCATGTCTTCAGTAGAGCTATCCGAGAACGGAAAACGCATTTGATGACTAATAGAAAGTTGCATTGGTCATAGCTTCCTGCATACATGTTGTTTCTTGGTTAGTAATCATTATAATCAATCTATCTATTGCTAAAACGTGAATGTAATTGTAACATGATCAGACAAGTAATCTATTGGTCATTAATTGCCGAAAGAAAATACAAATCACAAAACTGATGTGCATTGTCATATTAAGTTGCTTAACAAATTATAATAAATGTATTTAATACATTTATTATAATTTGTTAAGCAACTTAATCATGATAACTTTAAAAGTAATCATGAATATGCATGAGATAGATTTAGCTGTTGGTTTCTATTGGTTTCTATGTTTCTTAATTCTATTGGTCATAATGGTTTCTAGTCCCATTGGGTTCTAATTGGTCTCATTGGTTTTCTATATTGGTCCTATATTGTCCTATCTGTTCTATTGGTTTATATTGGTATTATTGGTTTCTACTGGTCCTATTGGTTTCTATTGGTCTTGTTGGTTTCTATTGGGTTTATATGGGTTTCTGATGGTTTGATTGGTCTCTTTTGGATTCAATTCTATGGGTCCAATAGAAGCCATTATAGACCAATATAATTTTTTCTCATGGTCTCTATTGGTCTCTATGGGATTTTCGACCTTGGCTGTTCTCAACTCTTAATCCATTTCTGAATTCAGTCCCCCCCCCCCCTCCTGCGCGAAGCGCGGAAGATTAGACGTTTCATTAAATTATTAGAGAATGAAAACGATTCGTTGTACCGTTTTCGACTCTTAATTAGCCCTACTAATGTCTGAATTCAGATTCCCTTTATCGCGCGAAGCGCGGAAGCTCTGACGTTTCCTTAAATCATTAGAGAAAGCAGACGATCTGTTGTACTGTTCTCGACTCTTAATCCTTATCTGAATCCAATTTCCCCCTCCCGCGCGAATCGCGGAGGTCTTGATGTTTTCTTAAATTATTAGAGAAAGCAGACGATTGGTTATACCGTTCTAATCCTTGTCTAAATGGAGTTTCCCCTCCAGCGCGATGCGCGGAAGCTTTGGCGTTTCATTAAAGACCGTCAATACTACTGGGCCAGAAGGGATTAGACCACCCAGCCAGGTCACTAACCGGTGGCTATCTCATCAACTCAGCTCTCAACTAACATAAGCAAAGAGGATCATGGGGGACCAACAGGCACCGATTGGGGTCGTTTTCTATCTAGAGGGAGCAAGTAGCTAAAAGTAGGACAGTAAGGCTTTAAAATATAAGAGAAAAATGAAGATTCGTTGTACCGTTCTTGACCCTTGTTTGAATTTAGTTTAACTGAAAAATTTAAACCTCTGATTTCTTTAGCTGATATTATAGGAAAGTGAAACTTCGAGAAAATACAGTCTCCCTCGATGTCGTCACAGCGGATTAAAAGTCACAGTTCGTAGGGGAAAAAAACATCGTCGGCCAACCAACTTTATACATCTCACCGACTTTAAACTTCCGCATTTATATTATAGTACACGAGGATCGAGCAAGAATACCGACACAGCTGACCCGACACAGCAACGTATTTATGCATGTCTTTCTTGCTCCCTGTACGAGACAACTCCACCCCCCCCCCCCCGTGGCGGATCCTGGGAAAAAAACCCGCTAATTTTACTTTTTTGGGGCGATGGACCCCCCTGGCGGTCAAGGGGGGGGGGGGGGGGTTGCAATTTTTCGAATTTTCGAGCGCCCTTGCTTCCTTTTGTCTTTAAAAAAAATAAAATCATTTTCTCCTTTTCTTTCTTTTGCTTTCTTTCCTCTTCACCCTCTTTTTCTTTTTTCTCTTTTCTTTCCTTTCTTTTCATTTTTGCTTTCTCTTGCTTTCTTTGCTTTCTTTTCCTTCCTTTCCTTTCTTTTCCTTTTTTCCCTTTCTTTTCCTTTTCTTTTTTTTCTTCTTTCCCTTTCCCTCTCTTTTTTTCTCTCTCCCTTTTCTCTTTTCCCCGACGGCAGCGCAATTTTACCGACAATATCCTGACAGGTGGGGGTGGAGCACTGATCTCTACGGATTTTTCCGTAGAGATCAGTGGGGTGGAGGCGTCACACCTTACCCCCGTTTGACGCCCCTGCCGGAAAGCCTCGGGTGAGATTTCCGTGGTCTAGAACAACTTTTGTTTAAAAAAGTCTGCAATATATTTTAATTTGTTAGTAGACCGGTCTGACTATTGGCTGCACACGAAAGTCAAAAGAGAGGAAGACAGTTCATTCAAAAAGTCAGAGCGCCACCATAAACCGTATAACAACAAAAGCAAGCAAAGTTTTCAAACAATATGACAGGTGTATCGATCGGACGAATCGATTCACCGTAACCAGGGATATTTAACAGATCAATAAGGATGTATAAGGTTATATGAAGCCAACTAAACCTTAATAAAATATTAATTATAGATTTTTTCAAACAATTAAAAGTGACATGAAGAGTTGTGCAATGTTTAAATGGTCAAATTTCAAGAAATTCAGAACTATAATTATTTTTTATTTCAATTGATAATATGTAACCCCTCTTCGCGGAATGGAACTGTCCGCTAACAAAGGCTGTTTTGTACACAGCGAACCCTGCGAAGGGAATTGTATACCTGGAGCATTTCACGTATTTGCGCGTGTACTATTTATTTTTCAGTACTGAAATTGCAGCACTACTATGCAGGATACAAGTTTAACATCGGTATTACATCAATTCAAAGGGAAAATGTCAGAATCATGTAGGAAAGTGAACAAAAACGTGTCGTAATGGCACAGCTACCAACACTTTGTATGGTCAATTATGACCAAGAAGAA